TCCTGCAGCAGTTTACTACACAGTAAACTTAACTTTCCGAATAAGCGAAAATACATTATACTCCGTTGTGATTCTTCGAATCACATTCTATTTTCTTTTCGTCGTAAACTCATTTCACGGCGATTTCATTTCGTCCAACCTACTTTTAGTGACCTAATGAGAGGAATGAACCTTCTAAAAGATAATTATGTAGTGACTACTTGTTAAGTTTGACCATATAGTTAAATCCATGAAAAATCCGTGCATTGTGGAGAGAACCAGTTCATTATGAATATATTTGTGTGTAAATATTCATTACATATTTACTTATAAATATGACCATAAAACATAACATTGAGCAGTGGGTAGAAAATAGCAATCTGTAATGGAAATCAGACCAAATAAATTGTAAATAAAGCACTAGTAGCCTTTGAAAACACGGTTGCAACTTTCTTAACTATTTAACTTATCCACCTTGAGATAGAAAAAGGCTAACATACATACTAACTGAAGCCTAAATAATCGAGATACAGAATAAGCTAGAGGGATGCCACCTGTGTTCAAAAGCCATCCAAGTTAGTGACCATTGAAGTGTACCTGGATAGACAGACGAAACCAACGCAGAGCCTCCCATACAAGTGAATCACATCAAATTGTAACCCTTCACAATAGTACACAAAGAAAAGGTGGATAGCATAAGAGTGATATCGAAGTAGACAAAGTTGTCTGAAAGAATCCATAACTTGAATAAATATTCAATCTTTAGATGTCAAGGAGTAAATACATCTGAGCCATTGTGGCCAGTTTTCAGCCCTGTCATCAAAAGTCCTCAACCACTGATTCGTATCGCTTCGCGGACCCCAACCAGGCAGTCTACATATCCCCCATGAGTCAGACCAACAATCAGAGACTTCACCTGCTGATGTCATGTCTTGATCCGGCCACCCTGTACCCTCTTTCAAGCTAATCCAGCTTCTGCTAGCTTGGCACATCTAAGTAGGTTGTTGCTCATCATGTGCAGTGCATGCCCAAGCCACCTCAGCTCCATTTCAATGGTCAGTTATTTTGTCAGGTCGACGGTGTTGGGATGGGATGCCCTTTCGGACCCCTTCTTGTCGACTTATTTCTTCCAAATTTAGAAGCTAGCAGCTTAATGCAATCTATGGAGAAAAACAGAACTGTCCCAGCAGTACATGTTTCATATTTTTTGTTTGTAAAAGTAAAACGGGAGTGGAAAATTCGTTATAGAAGTTTTACTCACGATGAATCGATGATGGTCGATGAACACGAAGGAAATGGTACTATCAAACTTATGGACGTTTCCTAGGTAGAAAGGAATAATGGATTTACAGAAAGCTCCATTTATGGAAAGCTTTTGTGGTTCAGGCAATATCTACATTTCAAGAGTTTTGTTCCGATCTAATATAAAAGAAATGGAATTAAAATTCTATTCAATAGGGCAAGGGAAATTTGCTCTGATAGAGCTACTGACTGTCAAATAAAAACAGAATTACATCCTAGTCATAAATGGCTACATAGGAAGCGTTATCAAGTACCCGAAAAATAGAGAAGACAAAACAACAGTCTCTACAGTTCCAAAACATTCAGTATTTATCAACTTGCCTTTAAAAGGAGACGATATGTTTGAAGTAGTTAGGCGTAGGCTGGACAAGATCATAAGGAGAACTTAGTACGTAGTTAAGCTCATAATTCCGAGTGTTACCAAATGGGTAATGCAACAATCAGAGAGAGATATGACTGCAATTCCCTACACATCAAGGTGTATACACCAATTTGAATGTACTTGCTAAAGCCAGTAAACAGGTCGTACGAAGAGGCGTTGGTTCACTTGCATGGTTGAGCACTAATCTAAATGGCGAAGGTGGGCTTTAGTGAAAATCCTGCAGAGCTCTATTATGAAGCATCTGGTATATTTCGGACACAATATCAATACAACTATGATCTTCACAGTTGTTAACAGACAACACAACAAGAAAATGCTAGTGATCGTAAAAGCTTGTGAAATTACAGCTCGTAAATCGAGCTCATGTGCGCAGATGAACATGATAGTCACCCTTAGTTTACCATGGTTGAGGTTCCTGTGAACCGTGGATACATCGGTTAGTGTTTCTTTATTTCCCAGAGTATTTTATCTATCATTCGTTCCTATTTCTTATTTTCCTTACAATTCTTATGTTAAGTAGACAAATGCCTTATCACCACTGATACTATTACTATCGCTAATGCTCAACTAACACTATAGCCTTATATTGTTACCGAGCTTCTTAATTGACATTCATTTGCTCCGTTCAAAATGATAATGATTTCAATCTTCTCCTTTCTCACTGTCAACTTCAGCATTACTATCACCTTTATTATTATTATTATTATTATTATTATTATTATCAGTGTTTTTGTTCACCTAACACCGATGGTTCCTTAGTTGTGCACTGTTATCCAACTATCCAGTTGACTATCAACTACTCTGTTGAAAGTGATGTAATTTATTCCTGTTCTTCGGAATCTTTGTTTTCAATTTATTACCCCCTCCCTCCAATCTCTTTTCACTTCCATTTGATCTGTTTGAATTGTCCACCCTGGGTTACTATGCTTCATTGAATGTCTTAGTCCGTATTGTGTGCACGTATTCCTCCAATGCATAACAGTATGTAAAATCATGTATGTAGAGTGAAAGGTTGACGAGTTCTACTAAAACCTATCGATTTAGAAAATTCTGACTCGGTAAGTTGATTAGTCACCTAGTCAGGGTTTTGTTTCCAAAATTATTTCTTTATGTCAATGAATTGTTTAAGTTTGCTAGCTAATTATTCTAAGGCCATACCGAAATATAAATCCAAAAAACCTAAACGTTTTGTCAACAAAAATTTATTATTTGAACCAATGGTATTGAATTTGAAATATCTGCCAAATAGTATGTAACGCACTCAGCCGCCTTGTGCACTTTTGTGCAGCAGGCACTGAGAATCAACCACTGTAAGATGGCCAATTATACTACCTGGCTGCCCAAACTCCAGTAAGTGAAGCGGGGCTCGAACCCATAACCCAACAGTTGATAGTTATCTCCGCACACCATTGAGACACAACTCTGACGAATTAGTGAACGAGAATCTGTAATTAGCATCGTAATGCAAAACGCTAAAGACCTAAATAAGTTGGATGGTAGGCAACGCATCTTCAGGTAAATCACTTCACTAAAGCTAAGAAGCTGATATTCTGAAAAGTGATAACTTGAACAAATGCACTAGACTATGACTTCTACTCAACATACTTTTTGTCGGTTAGTAAACATAATGCAACTCAAAATGGTATAAAGGTTTATAAACTAGATTATTGGCTATACATGTGAGACGGTTTATGATATTATCCAGTTAGCCGTATAAAAGTAGGTGGAGCTGGATTTGAACATCAACTAAACCGGAGAAAAGAAGTTTTGGAAAGATATTAACCATATCCCATCCATATTCTATCACGTAAGCAGTACTTTTTATCAAAATGCTAATTATCATGAGCCACATGCAGCTGAGGTGGGTGTTCACTTCTTTTACAACAAACTAAGGGTAATAGCGGTGATGCGATTTAGGTTGTACATAGAAATTCATCAAGTAAGAAGAGACATAATACAGCCAGGGTACTTCTTATACTTAGTTTCATCACTCCTACTAAGTATAAATAAGAAGACCACTGTTGCTTTACGATATCCCTCTTATAAAAAGAAATACCTTAAAGTGTTGATTGGAATATCACCACGCGATCTATAAACAGATACTGATCACGTTACTTTAGAAGCTAGCCTGATACATCAAATACGGATCATCAAAAACGTGAGACTGTATATGTCTAAGACAATTAATAGTTTAACCTTTTTCGTTTCAAATCCCAAATGAGCTTCAAGTTTTTGGACACAATTATGATATAAACACGGCAATCCACCGAAAAGCAAATTTATTACAGATGTTACTAAACCTAATATCAGGTAGATAAATCAAAGCACAGCCTCACTGGATAAAGTATGACGTCGACTCTTCACCTTTCAAAGCAACACAAAAGGGGATAGAAAAAGAACAATATTGAGGCTGAAGAAACTTTTTGACAGGGAAGAAACAAACCAATGATAGTCGAAATGGTGTGTTTTGAAGATGGTAAGAAGTGAATACATTTGCATTACTGTATCAAAATAGTCGAAATATAGGTTGACCAGGAGTCAAACATTTAAGTCGCTTTTAAATGAAGCTAGTTGAGTTCTTCTTTAACATAATCCTCTAGCTGAAACATATTTCTTTGGTTTCGAACATGATAAAACCTGACAAAATAATGCACTTTTGTGTGAAACAAACAAGATACCTACGCGCCATTTGTATTGACAGATGAGGTAACTGGTTTTTGCCTATGTTTTCAAAAACCAGCAATATCAATCATTCAGTATGTTGAGCTGTACAGTACTTTTGCAAAAAAGAAGTATCAAAGATGAAATTATGAGGGTTGTAATCTATATTTAATTTCGGTAGCATAAACACAATCAATTGGTAACAAGGATGTTTTTACGTTCAAAGCCGACAAAACTTTCAACTTGTGACGTGGGATGTGATTGCTTTGTGTAGAGCAAGGTGTGGTTGTTCAAGCTCGTTTGTATTTTGGGGAAAGTTTGAACCTTCATATCTCCCATTCCATAGATGTCTACTCACCTTATACCGACATTTCTGACCACTTTCAAATCTGTATCTATGTCCTAAGACACTTAATTAGGCAGAAAACCGTTTACTTGTGTATATATGAATTTTTCTGGGGGCTCTCATGACTTTGAGTGTCAAAACGTCGACGTTGACAAATAAATTTATAGAAATGTAACAATTATGTCAGCTATACGGCGCAGAAATAACTTAACCAAAGGATGAATAATGTTAACACATACAATAAAATGAATGTTACGAAATACGGATGATACTAAGAGTTATTTATTAACAACACACCAATGAAAACACTTGTTAAAGAAAAGCACGTACTTTTCGCGATCTTGTAGGGAATACAAGGGGTGACGTATTTGTAAAAGAAAGTCCCTGTTAAGTAATAATCATAAGAAGTGTCATTACTATGAGGCCCTGTTCTAATGCCATAAGACTGTACCACCCAGCAATTCCATAGTGGTTAGAACCTTAAATAAAGAAATTAATTATCCGATTAGACTCATAATATGGTACCGAATGCCGCAACAAAAGAGATTCCTGTCTTCTGAGCTTTCTGAATAGCTGTCTTCATTGCGAGATTGCCCACAACTGGACCAAGGGTATTTTTTCCGTCAACAAGAGCAGTAGAAACAGTTTCTTTCACAATTACAGGTTCTGAATTGGCATCACACACACCCTTTTGAATATCTCGTACATACATTTCTTAGAGAATATATTAGCATTGGAACCGAGGGCATACCCAGTCTGTTGAGCCCGTGGCTATAGTGACCTCGATAATCTCCAGCGACCAAAACATCACTTAAAGCATCCGAGTGACTCATTTGAGCCCCGACTTTTGTAAGACATCTAATGCAGAATTCTTTAACTTCCTTAGCAGATACAAGCTTCGAATACCCAGGGGGTGTATAGTGACTCATTTTCCTCACACATGCGTAGTAACTATGCTGCAAGCGACATTTCACAACCATGTTTGAAACATGCGCAGTTCGACTGTTACAATAAATAATACCTTAAATAATTTAGTCCTTGTTCAACACTCCGTAGAAATATGAAATTATCTAAATAGCATTCTACGCTGCATGCTATTGTGCTTACAGGGATAATGCAGAAAAACATTTGGTATTTTGTTGTACTTGTTTACTAAAGTACAAACGGTAGGTAGCTCCCAACTACGTACAAATTGGTGCGACATTTTCGATGTTTGGTTGGAGACCAGCATTTCATCCTTTACATGAACCACAAGCTGCTAACCCTCTCTCATGGATCAGTATCCGATAAGTACTCACAGCCTTAGTGACGATGACAGTACTGCATTTCCAAATGTCCGAAATCTGATCAACTAGCTCGCATAAGCCAATTGATTATTTCTTGCTCGCTTCTTGGTCTTGAGGAACGGTTCCATGTCTTTGATAGATTCCAGTCCACTCGCTTGCTATAGCTACGATAGATAGGACAGGAGGCTAAGTGTTGGTTAGTTCACCTTGGACTGTGGTACAGTTGGCTTCCTCAGATGTCGAGTTGCCAGACAGTTGCTTGGACTGGTCGTTGGACAGAGTTAAGGATAGTGAAGAGAAAACCTAGTAGGACAAATCTATGTGAGTAAAAGGCAAAGAAAAGTGAACCAGTGGATTAATCTACCAACACCCAAGTAAGGCGAAAAAAGGTGCAAAGATATGAAGAACTTAGGTGGGTGAGGCTGGTCCATAGCAAGTGAAAGGGATGAAAAGGGCCTAAATGATTACAGTAGAAAGAAATCTGTTGTAGAGGTAGCATGGTTGAAATAGCGTGGCAGCAGTTGATTTCGTTCGTTTGGTCCATAATCCAGCTACATGAGAGTGGACCGTGGGCCTCCGCGTAACTGTCTAGCCTTTTCTTGAGACTTTCGACAGATGGGGCGGAGACTACTTTCGCCAGTAACGCATTCCAGTGCCTGCAGATTCGGGAGGAGAAGTGTGGGCGCACATGAGGTTCTTACCTTTGGTGGGCAATTCCCTCATAGTTTCCGCAAGCATCACCACAGTGGCCACTCGGTAGTAATCCTCTGTTCAGGTGACTTGAGCTGTTCAGCATTTCGTAAGCCATTATCAAGTCACCTCATAACCTTCGGTAGCTAAGAGAGTACGAGCCTAGGTCTTCCAGTCTATCCTCATATGGTCTCCATTGCATTCCAACAACCTCTTTCGTGGCTCACCTCTAAGCTTTCTCCAGTGGGTACGTGGTTCTTCTAAGTTATGGTAGAGCGAAGACACTATGGATCTCCAAGTGGGATCATATGTAGGTCTCGTAGGGCTTCAGAAAGAGTTCTGGGGTGAGGGCACCTAATTGTCTGCGCACAAACTACAGTACATCTTATGCTTTTAAGGTATCTCCTGGGTAGTTAAAACTGGTGTCCAGTTTCCCCGTCACCGCTAAACCCGGGTCTTTTTCTGCAGTGGTATGGGATAAACGTGAATCACAGAGACAGCGGGATACTTTCTGGGGATCAGAGGTGTGGAAAAATGTGGGCCGGCACCTATTCAGGTCGAATGCCACCTCGTTATTTGTTGCTCACTTCTCTGGTGTTTTGAGCTCGTTCTGTGGAGCACTCGATTTCGTTTTGCAAGTCACTGCCTTTCATATCGTAACGTCGTCAGCGAAGGGGAGAACTGGAGAGCCGGTGTGCAGTGGGAGGTCATTCACGAACAATAGTAGCAACAATGGGTCCAGGATTGCTCGTTATGGGACGCCGGACGACTATGTTCTACGAGTTGAGTGGACCCTGTTGACTTTTGTGCAGAACTCCCTACTGTCTTAGTAGTTCTGCAGCCACGATAGCACCCAGCCATGGATACCCAACACAGCTATTTTTTGTGTTAGGATGATGTGTGAGAGTGTTATTATTTCATCCAAAAACCTATCTCCTACCAAGTGTCTACATCTGGTCAAGTCATCAGTAAGCGACCGAGCGATCATCTGGCTCCTGCCTTAATGGATCATGGAGGATTTCTCTTTCCAGATCATGTCTAAGATCGGTAGGCAGCTAGACACACGCCTCAACCCCTGCCGTCGCCATTCATTTGCAAATGTGCGACAGACATATCAACTTCTGGCGCTTGTCACTTAGTTTAGTCAACGGCTATAACAATAGCCTTGGATCAAACAAGACTAGCTATACAGTATGAAGCTACCAGAATGTTGTGGTCCAACAGCTTTATTCCGTGCACAATGTCTTCAGGAGACGTACTCACCGCTTCTGAATAATGACAATAATAGCAGTAATAAATCCACGGTGTAAAACAGATCCTTGACATTACACTGAAGATGGTTTTGGCGCGTGAATGGACAGAACCTCCAGCTCAGTTTTTGCTGTTGGTGGTTTATTCGGCCAGTATCAAAATCAGCGATTCAAAATAATTATCTGAGGAATTGTAACAATAGCAATGATTTATGGAATCAAAAATTACACGAGCACGTCGTTTTTACAGGCAATATCTGAATTTTATTGTTGCCAGTGAGGCTGCTATGATGCAATTATTCTCATAGCGTTGCTTACAGGTGCTAGATAATAACCCGTTCGCCACACAACAATAGTAACAGTAACACAGGCATTGTTGCTCAGTATGAGCTTTAATTAGGAAAATAGATAAGCCCAGAGACCTCGGTTAATGGGTCACACAAGCGGTGAAAGTACAAAGAATATCAGATGCTGAGCGCAAACAAATCTGAAAGAAATGCAAATAATCAATAAGTTTCTCCATTCACAGAGAATATTTAAAGCTAGATTTAACTCCTGGTACGGACCGCTGACAAAGCTTGTGATTAGTGTAACACTGTGTCAGGCAGCTTAGAGTGATTGTTAAGGTCTGCGTCGTTGAAAACAAGTTCATCGGAATAAATTAAGCTTAAATTGTAACTCAGTCCAGAAACTGTTCTCATTTTGCGGCCCATGAAGTGTAAGGTTTCATCATCCAACGTCTTCAAGGTTGGCGCTTCATACGAGGCTAGTTTCGGTTCTGTTCACTATGAGCTGAGTGGCTGTTATTAGCCGGAGAACCTGCATGTTTGGATAATAATGAATGATAATGATAATAAACTTTTATCCTCACATTAGTAAGTTAACATGAGAGAAGCCAGTTTGCGGGCGCCATCACATTTCTATGTGTCGGAAAATCTACAAAATTTTGCGGGCCCTGAATAGCAGACAGGAGAGGTGGTTTAACTATATCAAAAACATCAGATCGCGGTTACGGGCCGAGGAAAGTATCACTTTCAGCATATGCAATGCGTCAAAATGAAGACAATAAAAACTCCCATTCCCACATAATGGATCTAGCTTGACAGATACCAACTCACGAGCACCGTCAGCATGATGATTTTGAAGGTTTACAGAATAGTTTTTGCAATTATGTGACTCACATGGCAAGTTACTGATACGCATATACTGATTAAAACTTGCTGCAAATCAAGAGACGGGCATGAATTTCCACCTGCCATTACACAGATCGTTCTCACTATCAACGACAAAAGCGCGCGATGTTCGAAGGTAGCGTTATAACCGGGCGACGTTGTAAGTCCATTTGCATAGTTCCTTATTTAATAATATAAACATCCATTCACTAGAATTTTCTTCAGTTTTTAGCTTTGCTAACCGGAAAGGGCCTATTTATACGATCTGGAGTATCAGTAAGTATCCACAGTTATATAACCAAGAGAGGGTCTAAATCAATGCATTTCCGGTTCGTCACGTTATGTTTAAAGGTAATATACATTAATCTCACTGGGAGTACTTCTAGTGGTAGCTGGAAGTAGACGTCAAGACGGTTAATAGTCTAAATGGCGGTAGTTATATATGGACTTCAGGCATCGTTCTTATTAGCGTAAGTAGCAATATTCGAGAAGTGTATTTGATGCATAGTAACATTTACTTGAGATCACTTTACACAGAGCACTATAGAACATGTAGTGTGGAGTTACTGCAAGTACAGATGCAAACAGCATGTACTGCCAACATTTCTAGATACAATCGCAAATGGAGCCATAATTCGGGGGTGAACCGTCAAATTAGTCTTTATGCTGCGGCCTCATTGTGGATCTATCTGCGAGAAAGAAAAAGAAACATGGGTATGAAACAGTTCATCGTGTAATGAAATCAATAGGTTACAAGATGTGAACAGAACAATCAAATAATGAGAAACCAGGTGCAGATTTAAAAGTTGTTGCGCAGAAATTATCTGCCTTTTCAGTGATAAACTATGGTGAAACAGAAGTCAGTGGCTTTTAATGCACGGTAAGCACAGGTAGAGCGCTGAAACGACTTGTCTGAACGGCGCAGCATATCGGTCAACACGTCTGATCGGGAATCTGAGCGACAAGGAGTAAGTAATCGTCACGCATACTGATGCATGCCTAGGTCTCTGAATACGAAGTAAGTTTTGGCATGAAGGAGTGGGAGTCTCAGTGCCTAGAAAACAAGACAGTTTGATGTATAGATGTTTGCTAGGAGTTCTGGTGACAGAACTTCTAGTAATACAACTTAGGGCATTTGAACGTCGTATGGAGTCAGGCGAGTAAGCTGTTCACTACATGGGTTACCCTACTACGATGGCACGGGTTACTCAACTGATAGGAAACTGCCTGTTACATAGAAATCTCACAGTTTGGAATTGAGAGCTGTTTCATTCATCAAATAAAACTTAGAAAGAGGTCCCAATTGTATTTATTCTTAATGTACGATCAATTTCACTACTTTGGGGACAATCAAGTTTTTCTGAGCCATCTCTGAGTGCTTCCGTTGTAAAGCATCTATCTACAGGCAGCTAACAGATGTCACCTGAAGCTAACAGCAGTGCTGCTGCGTACGGCAACGGGCCTGTTCCTCGGGTTTTTCTCACACTGATGGGTATGCGGTCGGTTACAGGAGTGTGAGTACTGGTTCCCCTCCCCACTATAGTGAACTTTTTGTACTCTGGTTTCACCTCAAAAGTGTTACGATATACCCAGATGATGAAAATTTTTAAGAA